CTTCTTCCTTCCTTCCTTCCTTCCTTCCTTCCTTCCTTCCTTCCTTCCTTGATTCATTCATTCATTCATTCATTCATTCATTCATTCATTTAGATTTACATCCTGCACCATCTTGCACATACTTGGGAGGGGCGAATGTAGGATCAAGGATGTCCAAAAAAGACAAAAATATCTTGTCCCAATGATTTTGAAAATGCCTTTTAATGCCAAACAGCTAGAAAACATTGTTTGTTACACCCAGAAAATAACTTCATTCCCTGTTTGTTACATTTTTTTAAAATTGGAATTTCATGATTTGTTATCCCTTTCCAACCCCAAGTCGCTCGTATCACATGAATTTTCTTTCTTTTTCCCATCTTGAACTACATTACTATTGTTTTTTACTTTATTATATTGTTTTCATTCCATTTTGGATTGTTAGCCACCCAGAATTGACTTTGATCTAGATGGCCAGGGTATAAATCTAATAAACAAACAAACAAACAAACAAACAAACAAACAAACAAATATTATTGAATTGGAGGCCATTGGTCATGGAGGCACAGTGGGGAATCGAACTCCCAACTGATACCGGAGCAGAATCAAACTAGATTTTAGTATAACCCTTAGCAGAGAAAACACAGGCCTCAGAGCAACTAGGCCCAAGACATTCACACATAGCTCAGGCAAAAAAAGAAACATTCACAGATGGTATAGGATTTTCCTTTAGTTACTCTTCCCTGCACCCCTTCACCTTTGATCTAGCAGATGGCCAGCTAAGGAATGTGGCCATTGAGGAACTAGGCAATAATAGTTGGAACATCACCTGCAGGAGAGCTGGAGAGTGAAGGCCATATATCAGGGTCCAGGAAGCCTACACATAAACATACCAAAAGATAAGATTATTTCCCCAGACATTTAGGTGCTTCCAGAATATAAGCAAAGGACACATGAGCACACAATCTAAGAATATAAGCAAAGGAAACATGAAGCACACAATCTGCATATCTATAAGTAGCCAATAGGGACTGGATCCAAACTTGGGGTACAAATGACCAATAGAATTGTAGTACTTTTATGCCAGAAGCTGGTATCTGGTTATGTATCTTGTTAGCAGCAGGTTATAACAGCAAAAGGGTGCACTACTAAGATGTTTGCCATGAAGGGGTTGAATAATTTTGAGAATGGAGAACTCATTAAAAGTTGCATTTTCAGTTGAATTTGGGAAAACGACTTGAAGCATTTCTTGTGTAGAGCTATTTCAATTGCTTTTCATTTCTTCATTGAAAACAGCTGAAATTCAAACAGATTTTGACAAGAAAACTGATTTGCTATGGGGTTTGAATAATTTTGATTACAACTCTATGTTACATTTACATGCAGTATTGTTGATTTAGGACACTTGCAGCTTTCCCATGCTTTTCTTCCACTCTAAGCACAAACAGTGTCTTGATGGCTGGTATACTAGCTATCGGATTGATAGCCCGTCTCTGTTATCCAGTGGAGTTGTCGTATAGAATGAGATCATCTTCCTCTGGATGTTGTATTTTGTTTGACCACCTTGCTAAAGAAGCGAGGCGTAGAACTAGTATTACTAAACTGACACTACCATAACAACTTTGCTTTAGAGCAGTCTTGACTCCTGAAGAACTATTCAAACTTTTTCTAAGTTTTCATAATGTGCTTTAATACACGACTATTTTATTTGGATTTTATGCTATATGCTGTTTCATTTTTTTGCACCACATGCTGTGGTATGGTTTTAATTCATTATTATACAGTATATTGTTGTATAGTTCTGATTTGTTCCAAGATTTATAGTTCTGCTCTAATATATCAGATAACCAGTTTGCATATTTATTGAATTTTGGTATATGAATCTATTATATGAAGTACAGAGTTGCAGTATGTGATGTTCAGTGTGTTCTGCCTAATATAGTAATATTTGTTTTTAACAGATTATTGCAATGGGAAGAAGCTACATCCGTTACCACTGGAATAAGTTTGATCTTTTAGTGATAATAGTGGGAATAGTAGATGTTATGGTTATTAATATCATTAGAGCAGATGATCGACCTTACGGTGTGGTCAGCACTGTTAGAGTATTCCGGTTTATTCGTGTTTTAAGATTGCTTCGACTTTTGAAGGTAAGCAAGTATTTGTCATCGTTCTGCAGTGTGGTTTTGTGCAGTTCAAATTTAATTTTTTTTCCTTGTTTCAAATATGTAAAGAAAATGAGTTAGTTTCCAATGATTTGGAAAGTTTTCTTTTCATTAATTATGGTTTGGCTTAAATCCATTCAGTTCCATATTAGTCTGGTTCTCTGGCCAAAGCAACATAACTTACAGTTTGATATTATTAATGCACTTCAAGTCTTCCTCTTCTTCCTCTCAAGAAACACCACTTCCCTGCCACCTTTTATACTCATTATTTTTAGCTTTAAATATTTTCTTTTAATCCACCTTGGGTCATTTTCAAGGAGAAAAGTGGGGTAAAACATTTTTAAACAAACAAATGCCTAATCATCTTAGAAATGATTTGTTCAAAGATGGTACAAAATCTTCTCAATGAATACCTCACAGTAAATTTACCCAGATTGTGAACTGCCGCAAACAGCTGTTGTGCTTCATTCTAAAGATACATGTCTAGGTGCAGAATTCCATTGCTTCAGTCTCTTTTTTCTCAGTCCATTCAATTCATAATGTCCTATCCATCCTTTTCAGTTTCCGTATCCGAAATGACTTTGCAAGGGCTTCCAGGTTTTAGATAATTTTCATCCTTAGTATTTAGCAACAAAGCTTGCTATGTCTCTGCTTATGAGGTACTGTTGTCCTTGTATTGAAACCATTGGATTGTATGGACTTAAGTAGTCTTTCAGGAGCGAAACAATTGGATGATCAAGGTTGATTAGTCTTGTTGAATACTTTGCGTTGGGCTACTATGGTCACTGACTGACATATACTGCAGAAACATCTATTTTTGTATAAATTATTTTGCAGACATATTCTAGATTTATAGATTTTATAGGTTTATAACTTCTGAATATGTTTAATATGTCCTGTGTTTTAGCATGTAGTACCCAAAATTATTGCAATACTGGAGAGGCAAATAAATAAACAGCGCTCTTTCTGTTATGATATTGCCAAAGGATATATACAAGCTGAAGAAGATATTAAATGTTTAATTGAACAGATTGCTGGTCATGAGAAGGTTTGCATAGTAAGTAAACTAACTACATGTATATTTTTAAAAGAAACATAAATTATACTTCATCTATATTCTTTACTAAGTTAAAAATGTATTTTGAGGAAGACTCTGTACAAGGGTATTACAGAAATTCCGTAGTATATGCATAAATAACCACTCGAGAAGAGGAAAATGCTTGAGGCTGTACGTTTTTCAAAAGAGCAGGTAACAACAGAAGCCACTAAAAAGACATTCAGTTGCAACCATGTCAGTGGTCCATTAATATCTTTCTCCTCTGTAGCCTTTATACTGACAAATTGGAGGGAGGGAGGTAGCTGCTTTCTACCTAGAATCTATCTACAGTTCTCTTACCCAATTTGGAAGGAGATTGAGATAAAAATACATAGCCCTTGCCTAGGAAGCAGACCGTTGCTCATGTCTGAAGTTCTGACAGTCCATCCTATCTTTATTTACAGTTGAAAGGCAGTACCTCTTTTCTTCAATGTTTAGTTCCTTCCTTCCTTTCTCTCTCCTCAGTTTCTCCCCAACAAGGTGACTTTCTATAGACCTGTCTCTTCCAGTTTTTTTCTGTGTACTCCGTGGGGACCTTAAACTCAGTCTGCTCCCCCGTCCAGGGTCCTCCTGTATTATTTACACCCAGTCTTTTTCTTCACCTCCTGCACCCAGCAAGCTTTTTCCTCTTCTATTCCCAACTGCCCCTTTTTTCCTTTTCCCTCTCCTTTTACAGTGGTGCCTCACATAGCGATTGCTCCGTTTTACGACAAAATCGCTTTGCGATGATCGCTGGGAGGCGATCATTGCAAAGCCCCCATTTTTGAGAAAGACCCTCTGCGGCCAGGGTGGCGGCGGCGGCGCCTCAGTCTCCCTGCGGAGGCTGGAGTTGCGAGGGGTGGAGAGAGAGAGAGAGAGAGAGAGAGACGAAGCACAGCTGATCGGCAGGGCTTTGGGATGATCGCTTCACCCACCGATCAGCTGTGCATACCAAGAATGCAAAGTCGATAACTATTTACCAAACCAACTCACAGAATATAGTCTAAGGTCAGAGTCCAGAGCCAAACACCCAACATAGTCCAAGGTCAGAGTCCAGAGTCAAATACACAACATAGTCCAGGGTCAGAGTCCAGAGTCAGGAACACGGTTCAAGGTTGTAGGAGCGTGGATGCTAGCCAGAGGTTTTGACTTGTTGCTTCCACAGAAATTCTAGCTGACTAGGAGCTGTTTTTATAGCAAAACAGCCCCTTGAGTTGCTGGAAACCTTTCCATCCTGTCAATACTCAAGCCTAGTTGAACAAAGATTTCTGTGGACAGCCTTCTGACCTTTTTGCCATAAGTCTTCCCCAAAGCCTGGCCCGAAGCTTGTCTGCTGAGGAAGGAGAATCTGGAGGCAATTCAGGTGTTTCTGATTGCTCAGCATTCTCCTCAGCCTGAGTTAACCCTTCTGGTTCCAGGTCTTCAGCTGCAATCATGACACTGTGCGAAAATGGGGGCTTTGCAATGATCACTTCCCCGCGATCATTGCAAAGCCCCCGCCTATCAAGCCCCCATTTTTGCACAGCTGATCGTCAGGGGCTTTGTGATGATCGCGCGGATGCGATCATTGCAAAGCCCCCGTTTTCGCACAGCTGATCGGTGGTTCCAAAATGGCCGCCGGGTAAACCAAATGGCTGCCCACTGTTTTGCCTCGCTTTAGAAGCACCCAAAACGGCCACCACAATGGAGGATCTTCGCATAAGGTCAGTTTTTAAGCCCATAGGAACACATTAAACACGTTTTTTATTTCTCTTAGCGTTTTTTATTTCTCTTAGCGACGAAATCCCTTAGCGACGTTTTTCCTGGAATGGATTAACATCGCTAAGCGAGGCACCACTGTATATCTTCTTTTTTTCCTGCTGAAACAGCACCCTCTAGTGACTCCTCCTCCAACACAGTCCCTGTAAATCTTCTACCAGGGTAGACAGGTATCCCTCGGTGTCTTTGATGGAGGAGATGGATGGTACATTCTGAGGAGTGCTTCTAGAGATACTCCCAGCCTCATATTATTCATTGGTGATTATCTACAGCAATCCCAAAAGTGGCTTTCAGATCAACAGCAACCAACTGAGATGGGAAAGGGACAAAGGTCATGAAATAGCAAGTACTGTCCTGCATTCTGGAGATTAAAATATCTTGAAAGTAAATCTTTACTTTGCTCATTATATGTCTTTTTAAAACAGGAAATAAATAAAATACTGGAAAAAAACAAACAAGATGCCTTGAAAGAATTAGGTAGGCATTTAAATATATATACTGTACATACATTGTACTTCTGTTGAGATGTATTTAGTTAAAACTTCCAAAGCTTCTATAATCTTCTGAGGAAATATTAAAGTACTAACCTTGTTGATGATATCCTACTAAAATTGAATGTATTCCATAAGTGTTGAACCTTCCTTCCTCTTGATGATCCAACTGTTTGATTTGCCTGTGGCTAAAAGAACAAAATCTTTGTCATCACCATACGTCCATGTTGTTTTGTATTCCATTCAGCAGTGGCCATATCAAAGTTCTTTGCCTCTCTCTTATATATTTTTAAAAATTGGGCTATAACAATATGTAAAATGAATTGAATGAACTGGCAGATTTTCAGAAAGTATGGTCACTTATAGTCAAAGAAGAAATGAGAGAATTGCTATAACAAAACAATTAACTCCTGCATAACTTTTCTTCAGTTAACTGGCATTTACCGTACATTCTTTTGCATGAAAAACAACACCTTTATTTGTTTTAGGTTTAATGCAGCGCGATTATCCAGATATTGTGACTGCTGTGAAAACTAAACAGGCAGTTCAAACAGTGATTAACACAGATTTTCAAGCACTTCAGTATATGATATCGGGATGTATTGTTGATAAAAATGAAGGAGCTGAACTTTATAAGGTAACTTTAGAAAACCATCTATATACACACGGTTCACACATTTATGATGATAATGTTTTAAATGTACCACAACTTGCTTCCCCATGTGGGGAAGGTGAGGAAGGTGTGAAGCCAGCACTTTGTGGGTTTCACTGCATGTAAGCTACCAAAACCCGACACCATGAAGCAACAGAGAAGATGAAGGCAGAATGGTCACTCAACTGGTGCCTCAAAGCGCTATGTGCATTTTTCCTTTGAGTCAGTCAGTTCATTCCCGTTTCCAGCCCATACTCATTTGCCCTCTTGATCTGCCTCCTTTTTGAAAAAGTAGTGCCCTTCTGAGACCCTGTGGACTAACTGGGCCGATCTTGCAAGCCAAATTTGACCTGTAGGTTTTCCATTCTTGCTATTGAAAAAAGAATCCTTGTGGACTAGATGGGTGGACCTTGTGAGTCAAATTTAGCCAATAGTTTCCCCATCTTTAAAAGGCAAACGGAGATCAAAGAGCCCTTAGCCAATAGTTTCCCCATCTTGACTTTTTTGAAAAGAATGTTCAGGTTACATTGTTTGTGCTCCCTGTTACCGCAGGGGTTAGACCTCAGCATTACAGCTGTAAAACTCTAGAAAGCTAATGCTAAAGAGTGAACTAATACTTCCGTTGACCTTAATGAATGTGCTTTAAGTCTCCACACTTGTGGCTTTGTAAAGACGGACTTGAGCTTATGTTTCTGTCTATGGATACAGCTAAAGTGCCACATTACTGTAAGATGCTTTTCTACTTCTATAAATTGGAGCCCAGGATTTATTCTGAGTAAATTTTCATGACTTTAAACGTTTGTGTATCTTTTTTTCCCCTTTGAAAATTGCATCAATTTTCCACAGCCCCCAAATATTGGGTACATGATGATGGCTTATAAAGCCATCCCATAGATCCCACTCTTAGTGAATAGTAAGAAATGAGCTGCTGCTAGGTCTGAGGAAGTCCCAGGTAAAGTGCTTTGTGGGGCTGTAAAGTCCTCCACTAGACCCACCATGCTGGCAAACATAACTGATCACAAAGGTGAGGGAAACTCAACCAAAAGGAACATATTCACATACTGCCTTGCAAACAAGCTCAGACCATTTCACAAACGATGCGTAGTCTTTGAAAAGTGTTTTGCATTTCCTAAGAGCTAAAAATGGTGCAGAGTTAGCCTCGCATTTTTATTCAGGCAACCTAGGACACTTCCATTCTCCTGTCGCCTTGTAGAGACAAAATGAAGTCTGTCTCAGCTCTCTTTGGGGATACTCATAACAAATGTGTGCCTGAAGTGTGAGTGATTTTATGGTACCACTCTACTCACAGTGTTAAACAACTATAATGGGACAGTGGGAAGAATAAAACTCTTTTTTTTTTCCTTTCATGGTTAAACTCTGAGTGAAGGAAGACTGGTTTCCAAAAGAAACACTATTATTTCAAAGCCCCCTGCAGCATTTGCACATCTGGCTTACCCACTGTAATGGGCACATTGTTTCCGTGTCCTTCTTGCATTATCTGAGACTATCGCAATAGTCTTTTAGTCAGTAGAAGTTGCATGTGTTCTTCATGTTCACTTGAGATAGTTGTTCTAAGTACAAATACATTTCTGGAAAAAAATATTTTAAAATAGAAGAGGAAGATCCCTAATTGATTAAAAACATCTGAGTGTCATAGCAAGAGATTTCCCCACCTCTGTGAGTGTAAAAATTAGTGTGCTTTCTTTGGTGTCCAGACTTCAGTATTTAAGGATGGTATGCCTATGAAGTCTGCTGTTGCAGGTAAAACATTTTCAGCTCTGACTACAAGCTACCTACAAGGAGAATGGTGAGGGAAAATGAATTCATTAAATATTAATTAAAATATATAATATCTGGGTTTTGCCATAGTTGTTTATTATTTACTGTATTTTTCCGTGTATAAGACTATACTTTTTCTAACATCTTTAGACTGACAATTGAGGGTCGTCTTATACACGGAAGTAAGCTGAGGAGAAAAAAGTGGAGGACAAAGCAGGGATCAAAGTGCTGCAGGATTGCTTTGATCCCTGCTTTCCCCTCTGCTTGCTAAGTCCCATGGGGCTTAGCAAAAGGAGGGGAAAGGATCAAAGCAATCCTGTGGCTATATAAGGGGGAAAGAGATCAAAATGATTGTGCAGTTGTGGAATTGCTTTGATCCCTTTTCCTCTCCTTTTGCTAAGCCATACAGGGCTTAGCACAAAAGGAGAAAGCAGGGATCAAAGCCAGCACTTTAATCCTTTGTACACTACATTTGCTAAGCCCCACTTAAATTTCTTAATTTTGGGTTAGATCCTAATTTGGGGTTAGAAAAGTGGGAGCGTCTTATACATGGGGTGTCTTATACATGGAAAAATACAGTAATCCTAACTTGTTCATTAATTTCAGAAGACGATTAAACTGATGTCTTCCAAAACAGCTTGGATGTGTAAAAACAGTTTTGTAGTGGATAGTTCTTAATATCTAACAAAACTTAAAATATTTACTTTAAGCCTAAAATAAATTTTAAATGGTCTGTATATTTGAATACTTTTCTGGTTTAGATTATTCTACTTAAAAGAAAACAGCTTGCAACACTTCCACCTACCATTGCACCACCTACTGCACCAGAACTTTTGCGTAATGTTATGTGGTTGTGCGATAATGAACACCAGCTTGAGTACATTCAGGTAATGTTTGTATTCCAGTATTTTAAAAGACCCTGACCAGAATTCTGTGCAGTTCTTATGATTGTGCAACTGCAGTTGTGCAAGTTGATGATGGTTTCGGCATTTGCACAAGGATGCATCCTGTACCATTTAGAGTTGAGGTTGCTACGTAGCTTTACAATTGCCAGAGCAGTTTAGTGCTATCTGGCTGCTTGCTAGGGGCCTCCACAAATGCCAGAAATCAGTGGAAATATAACAGGACAGACCGGGGCTTCCAGTAGGATTCTGGGCTCTATGTCATGTCCAAACATGGCTCCTGGAAAGTAGAAGAAGGAATGAAGGAATGGGTTCCCACCTGCTTTTGGAACCAGTTTGCTTTCTTGCCTGCCTGTCTTTCATCTATACACTAGATATGGTTAAAACATTTTTCCTCATTTTGATTACTAATCATATTTACCATGCACTACAGTGTGTTCAGAAAATGAAAATATGTCCTGATGTAGGTCAAAGCAGCCCTAGAAGTGTAACATGCAATTAGGCCCTTACAAAGACCTGGGGATACCATCGTAACATTATCATTTTTTTTCCTTCCTGTTGAAACCCTGGCCTTGATCCACTCTCATAATGAGATCAACATGCTGATTTGTCCTCTCCCACTCTTCTTTTATGTGCATTTGAATTTCTTATTTTCTCTCCCTGTTTGTACAAAGGTTAAAAATCATCCCAGTTGAGGTAAAGTAGTAGAAGTTTGTCAGGGGCAATTTAGAGTGAAAAAAAGGCCACCAGGAGAAAAATTAAGAAGGTGCTGCTTCTTATTTAGAAATGCAGATTTCTAAGAATGATTTTTTTAAAAAATGTTCTGCTCATTTGTATTTAACATTTCATTTGCCCTTGAGGTTTTCAGCTTACATTAATATTTCAGTATTTTAGTTCAACATATAAATTAACATAAATATTTATTAATATCTGCTTTTTATCATTATATCTTCCGTTAGGTAAAATCCTCTTGCTTGAGGATTGCTTGAGGATTTCAGAGTCTCTCTATTAGGAAACAACAATGTTGTGACTTTAGCATAGTAAGTCACAGTTAAGGCTGCCGTCACACCAGCAAAATGTCTCCTCATGAGTTTTGACCCTTTATTGGGGGTTCAGACAGTCATCACTATTATACATCAGTGGTTGAAGGGAAAAAAATCCCCCTATTTTAGTCATTTTTTGGGAGAGTTGACAATATTTTTGTCAATTTTATTTCTTTGCTTCTTTTTCTTCGTTTTTGGGAGACATGTGTGTGTGTGTGTGTGTTGCCTGTGCTATCCCTACTTTTGTAGTAGTTTGAGGATTCTTTAGAGCTGTAAGACAAATCCAAGAGAGAATGGATTCTCAATAGGTGAATGTGAAATGAAAGAATCTGAAAGAGCCAGGCCTTCTGTATTTAATGATAGGACCTGTACCAGAAGGACTGGAGAGCAAATGAGACACACCCCTGAATGAAACTCAAAAAGTTTTTCCCGTGCACATCCCTACTTATGTACATATTTCAAACATCTATATCTCAGGATTTGTCTGGCATTCTCTGGCCAAAATTGTTTTTCCTTTCAAGTAACAACAGTGAATATGTTGAACTGGCCTTTCAATAATAATAAATTGTAAAACATGCATTATTATTGTCTCATACTGCATTCTAAGTTTTAAAAAAAGCACTTTAAGTGTTCCGTAATTCTTGCTGAATTCCATAATCCTTACGTAATCTTTGTAGCCACTGCTTTAAAAACCTTCATCTTCATCATCTTAGAACTACAGAGCTGGAAGGGACCCTATGGAACAGAAGTACAGTTTTTAAACCCTGTTCTGTGTGTGTACTAAGTAGCAGGCAATATATTCTGTATGGTGCAATCATCATTATACTTCATGTATCCTATACATTAATTTTGTACCTTTAGGAAAAAGCAAAAAAAATTTGTTTTGACTATGGAGATGTCGTATCTAAAGAAGGTGACTTACCGCAAGGAATCCATTTAATTGTCTCAGGGATGGTTAAGGTAAGCTCTAGTTACAGTAGACTGAATTAACTGACAATGTGTAAAGGTACACCACATAATGTTGAGTTAGTTGTACTACATACCACTTGTAACTTTTAATTGCCACTGATACGTTAGTTGTTTATTAAGGCGTACTCCAGTTTTTTCATTGGTTATTTGCACAACTCCTCATGCTGTTCTATCACAAAATAATGCCATTTTCCCCCAAAATACAGATTGTTAGTTTTTCTTACCTCACCATCCTCTCCAAATTCATTCACTGTGGAGGCGGCACTAGCTCAGATAATGCAGAATATGCATTCTTATGATATGGGCAGCAAGCTAGAATCATTTCTCTCAGAGCCCTGGATTTCAAGCTATCCTGCTGGGTCTCTCAAATTCTGAGATAAAAGAAATTCTCTTTAGAGTTGGTTCCATATCTCAAGTTTCCCAGACCTAGGTTCAGAAGCCCCACCACTAAGCCTTTCCACAAAGCTCTAGCAGGTCACCCACTTCTTTACCACAGATTCTAACTAAAAAGGTACCCATGACTCCAGAAAATTCACTTTCAAATTTTGACTTCACTGGATTACTTCAAATCCCACCACTGTACACCAATTGTGATGTGCCGCTGCATGTCCCCAGATTACCTGAGGCCCACGACACGTTCCCTCCTTTACGCTGCCATCAGTTGATCTCTGTCAACAATGTTCAATTAGAAAAATTGAGATCCATGCTGAGTGTAAAGTTTAACAAAAACAGGTTTATTGGATACAGTTCACTTAAACAGATTCTTCACAGACTTTAAATTAGTCAGTAGTTTAGTAATAACTTGTTTCACTCTTAACTCTCTATAAGTTACACTCTTAACTGCCTCCCTTAATTCTTCACACTCTAACTCTCACAGACTAACTTTTCACTTCAAACTCTCATCTCTGACTGAAACTGACTGACTAACCAAGTGCTCTTCTCTCTCTCACCCCTCCCTTCTAGTTTCTCTGGCTCTGCCTGCCAACAGCTCCCATTGGTACATCCAAATAACCTCCTACATGAGCCAAAGCAGGGTGATCGCCACAGTACCATGCTGGCAATTTTGTCTTCTGCTGTTAACATCACTCCGATAAAATGGGCATAATAGCTTCATTCACCACAGCATCAAGTAAATATCAGAAATAGGACAGTACTCTTTGACTTTCAAAATCTACATTTTCACTATGCCTGGAAATACTTTCCTCGGCTTTTTTGGATTTATAATAATAAAGAAGGTTTTGATTAATTTATAGATAAAATAATCTTTTCTACATATGTTTCTTACTCAATAAATGCATAAGCTGCTTAAAGTAATTAATGTCATCCTGTGCACAAATTGCTTGTGCTAATAAGGCTAATTGGCAACAGCAGGCATTTACCATATTAGTCATATGTATCTAATGTCATCACCAGTGCCTATAATTGTCTTTATAGAGACTGTTTCACATCTGTTTTAAATCACCTCTATGATCTCTGAAAGTGATTTGATGAGATTTGTTAAGAGTTACACAGTGGAAATTGTTAAACTGCTAGAGATCTTCTTATAATCTACAAACAGCAAAAACAAATACACTGGACACAGAGAGACGTTCCCTTCACCAAGAGTGTATTTACAAATATACGCCACACCTCAGAACTAGCAATTCCGCGATTCGAACAAAGTAACGTGCTGCTCCTCCATACCTCAACCCAACAACTAAGCTTAGTTATTTCATTGTATGGTTATTCTGTGTATATACTTACAATGACAATAAATTATTATTATTATTATAACTGCAAAACAGGATTTCAGCTTGTGAATTCCAGAGAAAAAATCTATTTTTTCAACTTCATACAAGAGGGTATATCTTCATGAGGAAAGTAGAAAATAATGCAGTTGTAAGATGTGTATTTTCCTCACTTTCTTCTCTATTATAGCTTTGTTGCTGACTTGTTGTAAACACATTTACAAATTTACATATTCCAGAATATATATACATATAGTCCCAACATTTACAATAGTAACAAAATACTTTACATTTCTTTTAAACCAATATTTTTTAACATTTGGTAATGCCTTATTACCCCCAAGTGGTTTTGTTAGTATGTCTGCTTGCATTTCTTCTGTTTGACAATATCTTAGTTCAACAAACTTTCTTTGAACTGCTTCTTTCAAGTTTCCAAATCTGATTCCCACATGTTTTGTTCTGGATTTGTTAATTTTCTGTTTCTGTCATGCAATTTCACCATTTCGTCCATCTTCAAGCAATGTTTGTATGTGCAGATAATTTTGTGGAACTGTTACGTTACAAATTGTTACATTACCATATCTTTGTGGTGAAATTCCTTTGGTACTTCTCTCAGATCTTCTTAACTCCGTTTGTCTGAAATTCCTTGAATTTCAGGGAAAGTTCCTCATTGTGTGAACTTTGGCACATTTCTTGCTCATCAGCCTCAGAATGTTTATTTTTTTCTAATCTCTTGTTTGGCCTTTGTGCATGTCAAGGAAAATTACAGGCCTGAGCAGAATAGAGTGTATTAATGAGAAGCCATAATGATCAGGTGTGTTAAAACTGAGTCAGGATGACTCAGCAGGGCTGATGCAACTCAGGGATGATGCAACCTGTGATCTGATTGGCTCTGTATGTATATATAAGTGTGAATTGTACAGTCTTTTGTATCTTCCTGCTTGAAGATCACTTCTACATGTTATGCTGCCAGAATGCTGTAAATACTGCTGTAAATACACGTTGCTGAAGGAAATGCTGCTGGACTGTGTGAGAGTTATTTCTGGACTGCCTGGACTGCGAATCACTCTGCTAAAACCGTGATTTGCGCTAAGAAACGCTGACAGTGCAGAGTGTATTATTTAAGCGCACAGGCACAAAAAAAGGAGAACTGCTCTATTCAGCGTTATTCCAATTCTGCTTGTTGAAATTTACTGAACAAGAAAATATGAGCCTTCAGTCAGGACAGTACAACCTGTAACTTTTTTGTCCTGGCTCATAACCTAGCATCATGGCCTTCTGTGCATGGGGCCGGCCCTTTCTCCTGAATCTCTTAGGAACATTTGCCTTGCATTTAGCCCCCAAAACCCTCAAATGTGCTAAGTTTGCTTTCCTGCCATACAACTTGTAATAGGGCATTGTTTTAATTGCATTTCTATATGATCTATTAATAAGATAGTTTGCAACTTTTACTGCTTTAGCCCAAAATGCAAATAGAAGCCCTACATCCTTTAATAGAGCTTCCATTATTGTTTGCAGTCTACCATTCTGCCTTTCTATTAATTCATTTTCTATAGGAATAGCTGCATTGGTTAATCTTTGCCTTATGTCTTTGGCCTTCAGCACACTAGACAATGCATTGTTAGTGAATTCAGTGCCCTTATCTGATTGGATTTCTGCCACCTTGTGAGATTGATATTTTTTCTCAACAAATTTTTATCCAATTTTTAAAGTTTTAGCTGTCTCATCCTTATTATGCAATGGGTAAGTAAATGAATATAATCTGTGGTGATCAATGATATTCAATGTGTACTTAGCACCACTTAATGACTTTGGCATGAGTCCAATGTGACCCACTGCCACAATCTGGAAAGGATGTTCCGTTGTCTTTTGCTACATCTAGCAACGGACACAGCTCTACTTTTAGTTTGTTGACGTACATCACAATTTAAGTACTTGGCACAATCCTTTACCATTTAAACCGTCTGAGTGTTCAATTGTCTTCTTAATTAGGTTGTACCCCATGTGACCAAATCTTCTGTGTAGTAAATGTGTGCACTGGTCATGATCAGGTTTATTTAGGCTTAGACATCCCTCTGGTTGCACCTGGTCTGTGAAAATTAATTTATACAAGCCATTACACTGTTTTCCTTGCCTACAGGCATCACATTTCTTTTAATAATACAGCCTTCATCATTAAATATTACCTCAAACCGTTTTTAGTTAAGCATTTTACACTAAGCAAATTGTGCTTTAGTTGGAGTACCAACAATGTTTCATGTAGCTTACCTAAACCAGGTAAATGAACGGAATCTTGTGCTATTACTGGGGAACATAAACCATTTGCTAAGCTTACAAACTGTTGCTTGCAATTGTCCTTGGAAATAAGCAGCTCCGGATTACTGGTCCCATGCTCTCTTATAAGCAACAGCAAAAATTTAAATGTGCACATGGGCTTGTTCTCAAAACATGAGAAGCTCAAAAACATGATTATTATACAGTAACCCTTAAAAGCTCACACAGAAATAAATTTGCTTGTGCAATAGAAGATTTGATTGTTTTGTTTTTATTTTTTGTTTTTTGTTATTATTCAGCAATCAGTATATTGGATTTACTGTAGTTGTAATTAGTAAATAGATTGAAGCCATTACATATGTGAGAGAAATCAATGTCTTCTAAAAGTAAGTGTCATTAAATTCTGTTGAACATTTAGGTAAATATAGGATTGCAGCCTGCGCCATGTACCTTTGTGCCCTAAAAGGTGCCTCTCAACTGTGTATTTTAAAGTTATTGGGATAACATTGTACATTGGGTGTTATATCTTATAGTTACTTTGGACAAAATCAAATGTTCATCTCTTTAATAAAAATAATTATTTGTGTTCTTTGTTCTCTAGCTTTCTGGTTCTACACCTCGTTATGGAGTTTATAATAAAGAAATTGAGAAACATCTTGCAGCAACTCCCTATACAGACTACTTAGGCACTGGGACTATAATAGGAGAGGTCAACTGTCTAACCAAGCAAGAAATGGAGTATACAGTTACTTGTGAGACTGCTGTGCAGGTTGGAGAATAGTGCTTTCCAACCAATTCATGATGCTTATTTTAAATTGTAATTAAAATGACAATAGATTTCAACCAAAGCTGAAATGAAATTGTCTGTATGTTTTTAACTTGAGCTTTGGTAGATAAGTCTCCAGACATAAGAATGGGACTACATGACAAATATTCATACATCTATACACGGTCCCACATTGAGAAAGCTGCCATTCTGGAGAAGGAAAATTGCAGGACAAGAATCCAAAAAGAGACAGATGGGATGAAAATATATACAAGTTTAAAACTCATCTCAATGGACTCAATATAAGCCAAGGTTTCTTAGGTCATTATAAAATGTAAAATATTGTGGTGCATCTGCTGAAATCCTCAGCAATATTTCCTTGCTATCTACCAATTCAAATCTGAATAAAATTCAAATCTACCATTGCCACCTCACAAGCCACATTGGTGAGTCAAGATAGTCATGACAGTTATTCCTGCTCAATATCTGTAGTCTGAGATTAATTTATACTAGATCCATTTATCTTTATATCATTAAAAAATCAGCTTCCAAAATTTAAACACCATTCCACATTTCCACCACATATGCATGTGCGTACCCATAATTTGATTGCATCTCCAACATAGTTTTGGAGTATTTACTGTGTTGTCTATGCTATATAATTTCAGCAGTGTTAAATACCACCTCCCATAGCTTTCCTTTATTTTAACTGGCATATTTTTTAAAATTTTCTTATCCCATCTATTCTTCCATACTTTCTATTTTAGTGCTTCCCCCAAATCCATTTCCCATACAGATTTCAAAGCCTTTTGCTGATCTTCCACAATTTTTAATTTTTAATTTGTACCAATTTTTAATTTGTACCAATTTCTTCCATTCCAGTTGGATCATTTTGCTTTTCTCTTTGGATTCCTTCAATAGGTACTGCAGAACAAATCCGCAGTATTTGTTCTGCAGTAGCAGAAACTGAAACTGTCTCTAGCATGAAAGAAATGTTTATCACTGGTTAAAGTCTGTCCATCAAAGTACTGTACTCTTAAAGAAAATGAAACATTTTATAATTGAAAAGGAAGTTCCGTTTGTCAGAGTCCCTTTGTCAGGTGTTGCTGGCATAATGAATTGCTTTCCATACTAATCATTCAGTGCAATACCTTTCTGCACTATGATGACTCAACTTCATTTTCCATGAGATGCAGGAGAGCATTATAGGCTTTTTTTGGAGTATTCCTTTCTGTCTAGAAAGGAACATGGCAAGCTAACAGAATTACTCTTCTGCATGATCAGTCTGTGCTTTATAGAGTACAGCTAAGTCTTTGACTGTATGTATGAAACATTTCTTCTGTATGAGAAATGATGGGTGGTTCTGAAAGAAATGGGTATGCCTCAGCATATGATTATTCTGCTATGTAAATTGTGTTGTGATCAAGAAATTACCATTGGGAGAATATGGAGAGCCACAGTGGTTTCCTATGAGCAAAGTTGTCAAACAAAGGTACATTTTATTCCCCTTATTTCTTCAGTCTGTATGAAGAACATATCATACAGAAAGCCAGATTTGATTCAAGCGAAAGAGTGGGTATGCGTCAGCATATGATTATTCTGCTATGTAAATTGTGTTGTGATCAAGAAACTACCATTGGGAGAATATGGAGAGCCACAGTGGTTTCCTATGAGCAAAGTTGTCAAACAAAGGTACATTTTATTCCCCTTATTTCTTCAGTCTGTATGAAGAACATATCATACAGAAAGCCAGATTTGATTCAAGCGAAAGAGTGAAAATTGGTGGAAGAAACATCAATAATTTTAGATATGCCGATAAGATTGTCTTATTGGCAGGAAACAGCAATGCCTTCAGATGACTTCTAGTGAAACTGAAAAATAGAGACTGAAGCAGGACTGTAGTTGAATGTTAAGACTACAGAAGACCTACAGAACTTTAACATTGACAATGAAGAAATTGAAATAGAGATTTTGTATATCTTAGTTCAATCATCAATTCAAATGGAAGCTGCAGCCAATAAATCAGAAGAAGACTGGGACTAGGAAGGGCATCAATGAAGGAACTAGAAAAGATAATCAAGTATAAGGATATGTCATTGGAGACCAAGACCAAGATCACCAACACTCTTGTATTTCCAGTTACCATGTATGGATGTGAAGGTGGACAGTAAAGAAATCTGAGAGGAAAAAGATTATTTTGAAATGTGGTGCTGGAGAAGAGCAGCCTGGGCTGCCAGAAAAACAAACAAGTGGGTCCTAGATCAAATAAAGCCTAAACTATATCTGGAGTTAAAAATGTTGAGGTTGAGGCTGTCCTACTTCAGGCACATAGGATTCTCTGGAAAGGACAATAATACTGGGAAAAGCTGGAGGCAGTAGGAATAGAGGGAGAGCAAATAAGCAATGAATTTACCCACCCACCCCAAGGAAACCACAGGCTTGAGTTTGTGAGAGCTAGGAAACAACATTTTGGAGATTGCTCATTCATAAAGTTGCCGTAAGTCAGGGGCAACTTGGCAGCACATAACAACAGTAATCACTGCGACTGTTAGGCAAAATAAGGGCTTAGAAGTTTGTTATACTAGTGAGTTTTGTGGTATGGATGCTTTATGCGTCCCTAACACACGTTTCTTTTGCCCTTTTCAAAGTACAAAATACAAATTATTTTCCAGACCAAGGGCTACTACTTTTCTGGAAAGTCATGAAATTTAGGAATCCATTGTAACAACTTTTTTTAATGAAAAGACTCACTGGACATTCACAAAATGTTTTACACGTTTAAAGTACATCTTGGAATTTTCTCTGCCAAGAAAAGCCCTGACTTCACAGAAAGAATTTTCAGTAGCAATCACCCTGACATAGAAATGTTGAAATTGTTTCTAAACAGATAGAATAAAAACAGGTAATCCTGAAGTAAATTAGGTTGAAAGACAGACATATGTGTCTTTTTCCTCAGGTAGTACACATTTTAAATTAAACATACCAAAAAAAATTGAGTGGCACTGAAATTTTCACCACTTTTTTTGCAGCATTTAACAACTTTTGTGCAATTCCTAAATATGCTAACTCAATCCTACAGTGGTGCCTCGCAAGGCAAATGCCTCGCAAGTCAAAAAACTCGCAAGACAAATGATTTTGGAAATGGGATTGATGACTCGCCAGACAAATGTTCCTATGGCTGTGCTTCGCAAGACAAATGTTTTCCGTTTTTTGTTCCTGCCTCCTGTTTGCTGATTTTTAATTGTTTTTCTATGATGTCTAAAAAGTTAAAGTTTTTTGATTGAAAATTTTAAAATCATCTGCACAATATGTATGGCTTTAAAGAGCACTTAATAAACTCTCTTGTAAACCAAATTTGACTTTGTTCTGACTTTTTTTGCCCATAGGAACGCATTAATTAGATTTCAGTGCATTCCTATGGGAAAACGTGTTTCCCAATATGAATTTTTCGCAAGACAACATTAACTGCAGAACGAATTAAATTCGTCTTGCGAGGCACCACTGTATAATAAACATTTATGGAAGTTTCTTATTTCTCATGTCTTTGCCTTTTTCTAGACATGTTTTATCTCTGCGAATGATTTGCTTGAAGCGTTTGATACATTTTTAGAAACACCCAGCTTAGAAGATAAAATATGGCGAAAAATTGCTCTTGATATTGCTCTCAAAACACTTAAGGAAGCCCTTCCTAACCAGGTGGGTTTTATTTAGTTCTATTCTGGGGATGCTAAACTGTTACAGTTCATATTTATTTTTGACAGTGTGCTGAGACAGACTAACCCAGCTACTTCTTTGGAAATTGTTGGGGAAAATAGTAAACCATTCCTTTTACATCATTTTTTAAAATTAGGGCATTTGGTTTAAGAGAAATTGAGAGCTTGAGAAAAGAAACACAAATGTGAACGAATAATTTATGGCTGCAGATAAAGGTATGAATAGATGTTGAAACTATCTATATGCATAAGATTATAATTAAAAATGGAATGTGGATTTAAATAGCGGGATAGCAGATAATATTTAGATGTATGCATGAAACGAAGAGAGGACAGTGTCCTTGTGTGTTGATGACAATGCTTGATCATTATGATTTCTGAACAGTCAGAATGGATGTTAGTATAGAAGAACAGATACGATGTATATGTAATGCTCATTTCCAAAATAGCGGGAGATAATATTTAGATGTATGCATGAAACGAAGAGAGGACAGTGTCCTTGTGTGTTGATGACAATGCTTGATCATTATGATTTCTGAACAGTCAGAATGGATGTTAGTATAGAAGAACAGATACCACATATATGTAATGCTCATTTCCATGTGTACAACATTATTCCAAGTAGAATGAAAAGGGTTAAAATAAGAGTAGGTGAGAAGACGTTGCTCGAATTAGTTTATCTCTGTAATTGTAATATCAGTTGATTAAGACAGTGAAGCAGGTTGAGGACAAGAAACTGAATTAATTTATCATTTGCTTACAATCACCACAATTTTGCTATTGTAACACTAACAAAAAACCGTATCTCCCATCAGTTAGACAGAAGGAAATGAAATCACGGCTTCTTCTTTGTGCTCTCTGTGACGTACACTTATGGGTTCTGCGCCTTCATAGAGTAGTTTCTGGAATGTTCCAGAGCTGAATAGCTTTAAGAGATTTTTTTTTCTCCTGATGCTCTAACAAGAACAAAAGGGGAGCTACCAACGTGGCTGCCCCCTTAAATATGCCCTGCTCAGCCCACGCCCCTCGGCCAATCTCAGGCAAGTCCTGTAGCCTCGCGTGGCATCCGGGAAGGTTGGCAAAGGCAAAGCCTCCTGGGGGATCCCTTTGGGCCCCCTCCCGGCGTTGGCATTTTTTCTGTATTGCAAAAGGAATGATAATTCTAAATCATATAAAGGTGGGATTTATAAGCAAATAATTTAGGTAGTGGTTGTTACACATTCAAATGGATGTTTATTAAAGTAGTGTTGTGTATGTGCTTGAAATTTGACTAAATTATACAAATGCAAAATTAAAGTGATACATTTATTGAACCACTAAAATCATACAAATTGCAAGCTTTCGTGGATAAAATCCTACTTTATCAGGCTGGGCACCACCTTTCTTGGACAGTGCAGAAAAACTGCAGGTTAGAATCTTAAAAATTCATGGCAGACATCCATGTTGAGTCTGGTGGTATGAGGTGAATTAGATGAGTTAGGTTGTAAAGACAACACAGAGTGCTGTCCTCTGAAGATGCCGGCCACAGAGACTGGCGAAACGTTAGGAAGAACAACTTTCAGATCACGGCCAAAGAGCCCGAAAAACCCACAACAACCATGTAAAGACTTAATTATATTCAAATTGCAAATTGATTCTGCTTATAATACTTTGTTAAGAAAAGACTTAAGAAAATGTCAAGAATATAATTTAAGTGGGCAAAATATGTTCAGAAGTTTTAAAAGTCTGCTTCTACTGAAAATTCTGACCTATAATTTACTTTCTTAGGAAAAGTGGCCAAAGAAATTATTAATAAAGATAAATGAATATCTGCATTTACTAAAGTCTTGTATTATCATATGTGAAATTATGAAAAAGTCAGCATCAAAATATAACCAGATTTTTAAAAAAAATGTCTTTCCTATGTCAAGATAATGTTGTGTGTCATCCTTATAATTGAAAGTACTGAGCTTCTGATTTTAAATGACAAACATAAATTATAAAATTTGAAAATATGAGACTGAAGAAATGAAGATGTACAGTTGCCTTTCACTATTTTCTAAACTTTTCTTACGAAAACAAATCATGGATGAGTGTTTTTGTACTGCTGTTGGTATAACTTATTACATAATTAAAATTATGTGGTTTTGTCTTGTAGGACTGGGCATACAAGATATGTGCTCAGTTTTCTAACGTGCAAGTGGTGGATATACCAAACCACACAAAACATGACATTTATGATGCAACTATGGATGATGTCATTCTTGTACATGGAGCTGTACAAGATTGCCAACTGGGGCAGTGTTACTATGCACCCTGCATTTTACCTAAAACATGCCACCAGGTAAGGAGAATGTTTGTAATTAGTCCATAGTACAGCTTCAGCACTAGATGGGAGAGAGCACAAATCCTGCAAAATTAATGGGATTGTGAAGACAGAGCATTTGTTCCTCCCCGCTTTATGCTGTTTGTGGCCATTTATGTTGTTTAGTCGTTTAGTCGTGTCCGACTCTTCGTGACCACATGGACCAGAGCACGCCAGGCCCTCCTGTCTTCCACTGCCTCCCGGAGTTGGGTTAAATTCATGTTGGTTGCCTCAATGATACTGTCCAACCATCTCATCTTCTGTCGTCCCCTTCTCCTCCTGCCTTCACACTTTCCCAACATCAGCATCTTTTCCAGGGAGTCTTCTCTTCTCATGAGATGGCCAAAGTATTGGAGCCTCAGCTTCAGGATCTGTCCTTCCAGTGAGCACTCAGGGTTGATTTCCTTTAGAATGGATAGGTTTGTTCTCCTTGCAGTCCAGGGGACTCTCAAGAGCCTCCTCCAACACCACAACTCATAAGCATCAATTCTTCGGCAGTCAGCTTTCTTTATGGTCCAGCTCTCACTTCCGTACATCATTAAAGGGAAAACCATAGCTTTGACTATTCGGACTTTTGTTGGCAAAGTGATGTCTCTGCTTTTTAAGATGCTATTGAGGTTTGACATTGCTTTCCTCCCAAGAAGCAGGTGTCTTTTAATTTCGTGGCTGTTGTCACCATCTGCAGTGATCATGGAGCCCAAGAAAGTGAAATCTGTCACTGCCTCCATATCTTCCCCTTCTATTTGCCAGGAGGTGATGGGACCAGCAGCCATGATCTTAGGTTTTTTTGATGTTGAGTTTCAGACCGTTTTTTGCATTCTCCTCTTTCACCCTCATTACAAGGTTCCTTAATTCCTTCTCACTTTCTGCCATCAGAGTGGTATCATCTGCATATCAGAGGTTGTTGATATTTCCTCCAGCAATCTTAATTCCGGTTTGGGATTCCTTCAGTCCGGCCTTTCGCATGATGTATTCTGTGCCACTTGAATCCAGATGTTACTGAGCTTTCTGTCCATGCTCATTCTTAAAATCTCATTTCTTTTCTCTTTCAAGAAATAAGCATATTTTAAAGAAATATTTCAGAAACCTTGACGAAACTGTTTAAAACCTATGCAGTGTTCTTTTCTGATAGGTCTTTTCTCCCCTTTGCTTTAATAGATTAGTGCTAAATTGAAACTTCTCATGATGGCAAACTGCTGGAAGCCCACCATGGAAATCAGCGGTACAGTGGACCCTCTACTTATGGAATTAATCCATATTGGAACGGTGGCTGCAAGTCGAAAAGTCTGTAGGTCGAATCTCCATTGACCTACAATGCATTGAAAACCGATTAATCCCATAACTGGCAGTTTTTATTCTATTTATGTTCCATTTTGGTTTTTTTCTGGTCTGTAAGTCGATTCTCCGGCTGCAAGTCGAATCTAAATTTTGCGGCCAGAGAAGTCTGTAACTTGAAAAGTCTGTAAGTCAAGCCGTCTGTAAGTCGAGGGTCCACTGTATTCAAAAACAACTCCTAAAAATCTTAAGGAAACTACTAGGTTTTTTTTTTGTTTTGCCTTTGTTTTGCAGATTTGTTTAACTCAAATAGTGCTAAACTGAAAGCTTATGACATTGTGAACATCCATTGTGAATCAAGTTTGGAAATCATCTCTTTTTTCACCGTCTTCTCCTTTAAAATTCTTGCAGAAATCCATTCAAAATGATTTTCTTTACTGGATGTTTTTGTTTAAATAGTGGAATAATGCCAGAGTGAAAGCTTCCAGCCAGGGGAGCTCTTGCTGTCAGCTCCATTTTGTGATGCAAAGTGAAACAAACAAACAAAAACATACAGGAGGTAGTTTTTGATGCACTTTTTCATAGCTGACATTTGCTTGTGTGGGTGGCAGGAAAAATCCCATTACCAGTGTGAAAAATGGGAAACATCTGCTCCATCTGGATGATCCTGAGGAGAAGATGATCACGAGAGCAATTGCTGATGTTTCCTTCTTTAAAGGATGGCTCTTGAATTTTTTTTTTCAGTTTGGTCTTCCATTGGTGGAACATGTGACCAAACAAGGCTAGCAGACCAACATACTATTAATTTCTCTGAAATTCACAAAATGGCTTGGATAGGGAATTTCTGGCAGGCAGCTGTATTCTTGTGGTTAACCTCCAAAAGCTGCCTTTAAACTTCTATAGCTTAATCCACCCAACAAGTGCTTTAGCACTATGGGACAGTATATACGTCTGAACAACAAACAAACAAACCACAGCACTCACCCCTCATTCTGGCAGGAGGAAAGAAAATGGCCTTTCCCCGCCAAGAATATGTTTGGCCTGATCCAAAGAGATGCAGCAAAGTAGACTTCCAGATGTGTATCACTAGCTGTGTTTGATACTATTCGTGAGTATAGTTTGGGCAAGTTAGTGGTTTTTTGGCCCATAGCTTCCTGAATCCCCTGATCAGGATGGCCAATGGCGCTGTGGGGTTGGGAGCTGTGGGCTTAAAAAAAACCATTTTCTCAGGTCGACATGGACTAACTCTTACTATGGTAATATTCCAGGTACGAGGCAATGCAACAGTAACAAAACTCTTAGTTATACGAACTACCAATCGAGGTGCTCAGACGAGCAGTGAAGTATGCAATCCTCTTTGCCAGTATCATTCGAGCCGGAGACGTGGTGAGAAATTACATGGAAACCATAATTCTAGAGAAGTTATAGAAATGCATGGCTGTGTGGAAGGCAGATATCACTTCCCAAATTTAACAATACCGTAGTCCTTTAAAGCAGGGTTCCCCAACCCCCGGTCTGTGGCCTGGTGCAAGTCTGTGGCCCGGTGCCAAACTGGGTCGCAGAGACAGAACTCCCACCCACCCTGCACGCACTCCCCCCTGCATAGCCCCTTCACACACGTGTGTGAGCGCCTGTGTGAGCACCCCCACCCCTTCGCTCATGTGCATAACTGCTCCCGCCTTCATGCATGTGTGCAAGTCTGTGTGGCCTCACGCAAATGCCCCCCGTTACTTTGCACGCAAGCACAGGGGCGTGCCTCGCCTTCCCCCACTGGTCCACTGTGTTAAAAAGGTTGGGGACCACTGCTTTAATGAGTTTGAATTACTCTATGAATTTGGTATGGACGTGTACTCAGCACCATCTCAAGGTGGGCTGCTTGCCTTTTATCTTTTTATAACTCTATTTCCCTTGTCAAAAACACACCCCTTTGTGTAATGAAGGGAACCCAAGCCCAAGGGCAATTTGATTGCCATTGATGGTCAAATCCCCATGCACTACTGAGTAACCTTCAGCCCTGTGACATTGACCACATGGCCCCTGCTGGTTTCACCAAACCAAAAGGAGCTCACGCTATGTCCTCCCACCAGCAGATATCAATTGTGACGTTCCCTCTTTTTCTCACTGCTACTAGTGGATTTCCTTTATCCACAATGTAAAAGAATTTAGTCAGACACTTGTCTGGTTACTGCCAACAGAAGTTATTTATTGAAGTGTATTAAATTAAATCAGAATCACAGATGTTCTTTCTTCAGTGCATAAAATCAAATCATTAAGACCTTACTGTATATCTTCCCACATACTCAATCACCATCTGCTCTATCTATTAACCTTGACCAGCTTATCTCTATAAGTATATTTTCTCACTATCTCCCTGACTATCTCTCTCTCTCATTCTGCAACTTCTATATCCCTCCTTTTCTCCGCAACCTCTATTTCTCCCTGCCAAACCTTCTTATATCCCCTGACTCAGCCCCCCCACTCTTCTCATAGGCTCATTCAAATGAGATCCTGGATATGAGTGACAGGAGTGACGTGGGGCAATTGTCACAAGCCCGTTCTTTATTTCTCTTCAGTTGCTGAACAACTGTAAAGCTAGATTCAATCGTTTAAATGCAAACAGTGCAAGGATCCTATGGACCTCCAGCTGGCAAAACATCATAAAGTTCAACTGCCTTTATTTCTTATGTATAGGGGATTACTGACATGTCAAAAAAAATCTCTCCAGTGGGGAATAAGAGTCTTTGAAGTAAATGTAAAATAGCTACATATTTGACACCTGTGGTTTACTGACAAGGTACATGGGTGCGCATCATACAACTATGCATGTGACCAGGTACACAGCGACTAAAATGATGCTTGGGTTAGGGCACCTCCCTTATGAGAAAAGGCTACAGCGTTTTGGGCTCTTTCATCTAGAGAAAAGGCACCTGAGGGGGAACATGATGGAGACATATAAAATTCTGCAGAGGATGGATCAAGTGGAGAGAGGGAAACTCTTTCCCCCCTCACACACTAGAGCCAGGGGACATCCACTCAAGTTGATTGTTGGGAGAGTGAGAACAGGCAAAAGAAAATATTTCTTTACCCAGTGTGTTGTGGAACTCCTTGCCACAGAATATGGTGATGGCATCTGGCCTACAGTAGATGCCTTGAAAAGGGGATTGGACAGATTTCTGGAAGAAAAGCCCATCACAGGTTACCAGCCATAATAGGGATGTACAATCTCCAGTATTAGAAGGAAGGTACCTCCAAATGCCAGATGCAGGGGAGGGGTATCAGGAGACAGGTATCTAGTTGTCTCATGTGTTCCCAGAAGCAACTGGTGGGACTCCTGTGAGATACAGGAAGCTGGACTAGATGGGCCCTTGGCCTGATCCAGCAGGGCTCTTCTTAGGTTTTTATGTAACTGAAATGCACTCTGGCACCTCATGCAGTAGTTATGGCAAGTGACAAATAGTTAACACAAATACAAATGATATTCTGTGCAATATCTTGCAATATGTTATAAGCAGCAAACAAAGAACAACTTTACATTTGTTATAAATATTATGCATATTCTGTACAAGTAAGATTTTTAGAGAGTCTTTGTAGTCGAGATGAGGAAAGTAAATTAACTCTGATGGCTTGATTGCTTTCCTGGGATCAATTGATCCTTAAACTCTACTATTCATCTGACATCTATACCTGCCCCTTCCTGTAAAACCACTCCCCTTCTCCTTATAGAGGGGTGGTTGGGCATCCAAGCTTTTTCTCCACCAAGAATGCCTTGTTACTCCCAAGTTCAGGATAACAGCAGGTGAAGAACGGGATTGTGTTGCTCATGGGAAACATGAGTGAGTGGTCATAGTGGAATCCTGCTGCCATCCTCCATTTCAGGTTATAGATAACAGTAAGATATCCTCCTGGCCCACTTCTGGCCCACACTGGAACTGCAACCAGAGATAATAGTTGTAATTAAAGATGTGGGTATTCGTATATGGGGATATTCGTACACAAATACCCCCGCACAGGTGGACATAATGAGGGTCTGGCTCCCTAGGGCCAGACTGTCCATTCACCTGTCCACTGTTGCCACGGGCTCCATGCTCCCTCCAATAAGTCCAGAGCTTGTGGTTGACTACCCACTCCTGGCAGAAGGAGGGAAGATGAGCCTCCCTGCCAGGCTAACAAGTGGCTAGTTGACTGTGAGCTCTGGAGTGATTGGAAGGGAGCACAGAGCCCACAGCAGCAGCGGACGGGTGAGTGGACGGTCTGGCCCCAGGGGGCCAGACCCTCCTTATGTCCACCTGTGCAGGCATATTTGTATTTGTATACGAATACAAATACCCCTATCTCTAGTTGTAATCCCATTGTGGTCCTGAATCAGGGATGGTTGTGCGATCTCTGCTACCTTGCTTACATTCTCTCTTGGAAAAGGAGTGGGATAGGGTGGGGAGTCCTAGTAGTGTCTGAGATCAGTAACGGTAGTGGGTCCGTATTACATGTTCCCAATGGGGAGTGAAGTAGAAATAAGTCTGGCAAATATCCCTAATCTGAGTATTAGGAGAATTATATCTCAAATCAGAAATAGCAGCAGGATTTCTCTGCTTGTAGCTTGCCTTATCAGGTGAAGGGTGAGATGTGTTTCAGGAAGCTTCCCATATCCAAGGAGTAGAGGTCTGTGGAGGGGGAGGAACCCTTGGAATCCTCAAAGGACATATCCTGACTGTTATGGGGTCAGACGAGGCTTGTGAGCTAGAGGTTTTCTTCCCATTCCTTACGGAAGTTCCCATGTTGTTTAAACAGTTCCTTCCCAAATTTCCCAAGGATAGTTAAACAGGATGGATAGGGGAAATCAGTATTTTCACATACTTTTTAAAGTGGAGGATATCTTGAAAAAAAAAGCCAAATGAAATATTAAAACATTTTCCTCTTGAATTTACAGAGGCCTTGGGGAATGTTTTTTCAGCTCATTCAACCTCTCCTGGTTCAGTGACTACAGATCCAGTAAGTATGTAGGCTCAATTAGGTTCTAGTGCCTTCAGCATAACTGAGTAGAGTAAGAATTTTACAGAATGCTGCCCTAAGAACTGCTAATAGAAGGATGGCATGTTGTAATAGAGGATCCATGTCTTCAGTGTCTACTTTAATTTCCTTCTGTGTGATCTCTGCCCATGGGATGCCCTCACTTGCCTTTTAGCAGTGCTCTCCCAGGACATGGAAAGCAACACCTATGTGAGGTTAGCACACATCTTTTTACCCATGGAGCAAACAAATGAATCTCAGGATAGTTTTCTAAGATTATAGCAACTAAGCACCCAAAGTGGTTGGATCTAATTAACTATGAGATAAAGGAAAATAGACCATAGCACAATGCCAGAAATAGGACTTCACACATACCAATGGTTGCGTGGTTCTGTTGCGCTTTTCAGACATTTTCTTCTGCAAAGTATTCTTTCATAGAATCTGCATTAATCACTTTCAGTTCATCTTTTTCTGCCACTCTGGACGCACTTGGTTCATTCTTGCACTGAACCATTTGCTCCTCTTGTCTCTACTTGTGGCTCACTCGCCCGTTATCTTTGCTCATGGTCTTCTGTAGCTCATTGTGCTTTGAAGAAGAATGAAGAGAAACTAAACTGACTGTGCATCACATGTTCATTCACCAGCCATGCACCTGGAGCAAGTAACATTACTATACTGTTCTGATTGACGTGCTCTAGAAGTCCTCCGTGTCTTTTCTGAACATTTTAAAGTCTTAAGGGGCTGGCCAGATGCCTCCCCACTACTCTGCCTCTGCTCATAGCCTTGCCTCCATCAATACTGAAACTGAAACCATCTGCCCTGAGTTCTCTACATTTCTATCTCCCAGTTTCTTCACTCCACCACCTCCTACCTTTTTGCTTTTTCTTATCTCACTTGATAAGTTGGCTACCCTTGTGTCCTCATCTAACCTATCAATCTGCCCCCTGCCCCCAATCCCTTCCTGACTGAAACGACCCCCCTCACTATAATTTCCTCTCCATCAAAGACCAATTTCTTCCTTCCCCTTCACCTCCTTATGTATTATATGCCACCACTTACGGCAACCCTCATAAGATTTTCATGACATGTCAGATATTTAAGGAGTCAGATATTTAAGGAGTCAATTTATCATTCCCCACCCAACCCCATGAGGTTCTATAGCCAAGCAAGGATTTGAACATAGGTCCTAGTCTGTCAGCCTATCTACTACACCACACTTGATTTCATACTTGCCCTGATTAAGATCATCACCATCTCCATTATTCAATGAACCACCAAAGCCACCCTCTTAATCCACTTTCTCGCTAGTTACCACTACCAATGGCCCTTTTGTCATTTGTCTCAATTATTCTTGGAAGATGTTGCTTATTTCTGATGTCTTAATTTCCTGTCAGCTTTTGACCTGTCTGCTCGAAATTTGTCTATTACCCTCAAAAGCTGTCAGTGATCTAAAGATTTTTCTATTCAGTCCATTTTCACCTTTATCTTTCTGTCATCTTCAGCAGGTAGCACTTCCTCTTTAATTCCTTAGTGATTCTCTCCTGAGATAGTTCTTTTGGTTCTTCTGTGAGGTGAATCTCTTCTTTAAGAGCCTCACAGGGATTTTCTTCTCTTTCTGCTCCTCTGTCCCTAGGCATTCATTCTCAGTTTTCAGTACCAGTTACGAGATGATGACACCCAGCTCTTGAACTCTGTCCCAAGATTTTCTCCTCTGTCCTGTATGTCTTGTTGCCTGCACCATATTTCCACTTAATCTAGCATAAGCAGGACCAACTTCTGTAACTTTCTTCACAAGTACTTCTCTTCTCAGGTGCACCTTATTTACTGCTCACAGAGGCAAAACCTTGGCTTTAAGTACATGTTTTTAATATATTTATTTAATTCTTTTTAAATATTGTAATATTTTGATTTTTTTCCTTTTAATATTGTTTCTTTTCATACTGTAAGCCTCCTTGAATCCTTTTCAGGAAAAATGTGGCATAAAATATATTAAGTAGATAAATTATTAATTAATTAACTCTTGATAACTCTCTGCTTGATTCCCCAGACCAATCTATTGCCAATTCATTCATATCCCTGCTTTACAACACTGCTAAGATCCAAGAAATCAAAAGGAAATTTAAACCTGCATTATTGTCGTAATGTGCCATCAAGTTGCTTCTGACTTATGGCGACTCTATAAATGAGCAATCTCCCAAATGCAGTCCTCAACAGCTCAGCTCCAGCACACTCAAGCCTATGGCTTCTTTTAGAGAGTTAGACCATCTCAGTTTGGGACATCCTCTTTTCCTGCCTTCCAGCTTTCCCAGCACTGTGATATTTTCCAGAGAACTCTACTGTCTCATGATGTGACCAAAGAAGGACAGCCTCAGTTTCAACATTTTTGCCTCCAGGGTTATTTTGATCCACTTGTTTGTCTTTTTGACAGTCCAAGATATCTGCAAAGCTCTTTTGCAGCACATTTCAAATGAATCAGTTTTTTCCTCTCTTTTTTTAACTGTCCAGCTTTCACACCCATACAGGTTGATTGGAAATACAGTCGTGCCCCGTTTAACAGTTACCCCTCATTACAATGAATTCGTTTCATGACGATGTTTATGCGATTGCAATTGCAAAACAATGGTCTAAATGGGTTTTTTTCGCTTTGCAAAGATCGGTTCCCTGCTTGGGGAACCGATTCTTTACATTACGATGATCAAAACAGCTGATCATCAGGTTTTCAAAATGGCCGCCAGGTGCTCAAAATGGCTCCGCCGCTGTGCTTAGGGACGGATTCCTCACTATATAGGCACTGAAAATGGCCACCGTATGGAGGATCTTCGCTGGATGGTGAGTTTTTAGCACATTGGAACACGTTAACCAGGTTTTAATGCGTTTCAATGGGTTTTTTAATTTCACTTTACGACATTTTCGCTCTACAGCGATTTCGCTGGAATGAATTAATGTCGTTAAGCGAGGCACCACTGTATAAGAATGTGGATGACCTTGGTCTTGGTTTCCGATGACACATCATTACACTTGATGATCTTTGGCAGATTGCAGCCACTCCACATCGCCTCTGCTCCAGCCTGTTGTATTACAGAACAAACAGACAGACAGTGCTGGATGGGACCAACCTCTCCAGGTTGCTTTACTACACTCCAGTCGACATTCTCACCCACAATCAGATTTTGGATGACATTTTCCTTTTTTGCTAATTTGTTAAGAAGGAGGGTTTGGTGGCAATGGAAAATCCACTGTTGTCTTTGTTTGGATTCAAACTTGAAAGGAGGAAAAGATAACCAGAAACCTTTCCTTCTGTATTGGTCAGGCTGGAATTTCTTACCTTATCTATCCCTACCAATAATTACTGTACATGAATAAATGTTCTCAAGCTCCCCAGGTTTCATCTGTCCCAGATGAAACTTCAGGGACTACTAAAACAATAAAACCAGACCACAAAGGCACACTTTCATTGACAAATTCTTTGCCAAGCTCAACCAAAGAGGAGAGACAACAAAAAGAACCAAGCATCATTTCAGCAGTGACTAGAGATGGGCATGAATCTCAGTTCGGAGGTTCGTGCTGGTTTGTATGCATGACACCACAGGTGCCACACATTCCCTTTGCCCACCTCCCAGCTGGATCTCCCCCACTCACCAGCTGGTGCATGCTTCTCTCCTCCTCCTCTTTGGCTGTTCAACCAGTCCCTGGCAGGAGCATGGGCTTGCCTCCTTTTCTGAATGGTTGAACAGCTGAAGAGGATGAGGACAGGAGCCAGCCAGTGAATGGGGGAATCCAGCCGGAGAGTGGGGGAAGGGAATGGGGGAAGGGAATGCGCGTGAACCAGCACGAACCTCTGAAACAAGGTTTGTGCCCATCTCAAGCTGTAACCTCATTTTCCAGCTACTTAAAAAATAGCATGTTAATTCCATATGGCACCTGGTATGGGGACGTGGTGGCGTTGCGGGCTAAACCGCAGAAGCCTGTGCTGCAGGGTCAGAAGACCAAGCAGTCGTAAGATCGAATCCACGCGATGGAGTGAGCTCCCATCGCTTGTCCCAGCTCCCGCCAACCTAGCGGTTCGAAAGCATGCAAATGCAAGTAGATAAATAGGGACCACTTCGGTGGGAAGGTAACAGCATTCCGTGTCTAAGTCGCACTGGCCATGTGACCACGGAAGATTGTCTTCAGACAAACGCTGGCTCTATGGCTTAGAAACGGGGATGAGCACCGCCCCCTAGAGTCGAACACAACTGGACAAAAAAAATTGTCAAGGGGAACCTTTACCTTTACCTTTTTTTATGTTGTAGCAGATCAAATGACGCACTAGGACTCTGGAGGCCTGAGTCTGAAACTCGGCCTAGCTATGGTACCTCACTGGGGGAAATGGAATAGGTAAAACCACTCCTTAAACATCTCACCTACCTTGAAAGCCCTATTAGGTTGGTTATAGATCAGTTCCAGCTTGACAGCACATAATTAGCTAACTAGTTCCATACTCCCAATACCCTTCTTATCCATACATGGAATGGCAAGTGTAACTGGGTGGTGAGGGAGAATCATATTCACTTTCAACCTCCTTCTTACCAAAGAATAGCACTTCTTTAGAAGTACAACTTCCTGCTTGCTTTCTTTGAACAGAGGGCTCTTTCTTGCAGAAACTCAGCTGAATCAGTTTACCATGGAGTGAAAGGGACCATCTGCATCCTTCAGTTATAGTGGCTTCCCAAGCTTCCTGGCACGACTAGCATGCTTGTTGTTTGTAAGCTCACTGCTACAAAAATGTCATTTGCCTCCTAGAACATGCCCCCCTGCCATTGTCACTGCTGTCTGTTTTCTGTCTGTCCCTTAGTTCATTGACAGACTTCTTTAGCTTCAGCCATCCTTTATAAAACTGAGGGTAATTCTTCAACTTTTATTGTGGATGAACTTGTGATGGGTAGTTCTTCTTGCCACCTACAGCTTGTGCTGAACCATGCTGAAACCTTTTTTTCCCTTTAAACAGAACAATTTGATCGGCCAAAAGGACAAGAAGAAAAAAGATTCCAGTATGTGCAAAGTTTAACAAGATACAATGCCATCGCAAAGAAAACTGATGACACAAATCACAAGTCTACATAGTTCAGGGACCTTCATGTTAAAGAACTGAAAATAATTTATTTTCCAAGACAGCTGCCAGACAGCAAAGGGAAATCTCAATTTCTCCTAACGTGAAAATAAGGAATGTCTGACGTAATACAACTGCAAGAGGTGGTATCTTCTAAAATTCTGGGAGACATTGTGGGGAATCCATTGTGAGAATCCAGCAAGGGCCAAAAATCTGGAAGCAAGAACAGCTCTGCGACCATAATAATCGTACCTTGTGCAAGAGAGAATTCACCCTCCCCCCATGCCTCTCCCAATTTTCAGCAGCAATTTGATGGGGGTGGCAGAACATGCAGGGCAGTGAGAACCACAAAAGAACCATGTGGTGGATGTCCACATGTTTCCTGTCTCTGCTCTGTAACATTTCATTCCACATATTTAACTTCTTTTCAAAGAATCTACTACATGCTTGTTCAACTGCATTGTCCAGGTCCACTAATTTCTTACCTCCTCTGAGGCTTAAGACAGGCACACACATGGGCCAGTAGCAAATGGCTCCATATCTGAGAACGACCATTACATATTATTTACATCACATCAACTGTGATGCTTTTTTGAAAAAATGGATGACTCCTAAGTTGCACTACGCTGTTGCACAAATCACGTGAAAAACGTGGTGGTGGTAATGGCAGCATCTTGTGGAAGCTTTAAAAAGCAGCGTCTGATGAACTGTCATTTCCCAACTCACAGTAATTCCTCTTGTCTTTCCTGCAAAGGCACCTTTTGAATGGAACAGGATAATAAGGAAAAGTGAACAATAGTTAAGGGTTTCTTTTTAGTGTGAGCGTGAATGTAACACAGCAGCAGAACAATATAGGCTACAATGTGTTTGACTGAGACACCCGACACTCCTTGCACAGTGCTCTCCTCCTGCCATTCTCCAGATGTTTTAATTTCAACTTCATAGAGCCAGCCAGCAGGGTTTTTTTCTGACACCATGAAAAAAAAGCTATGAATGTTGAAGCATTTATTTCTGATGTTGTATTATATTTTGTATCTATAGGAAATTCATTCAATTAGTTCCCCAGCATAGAACTCCAAGGTATATGATATGTAGCTATTAGAGCAGGACAGCTGTTTCTTCCTCTTCAGTAGATGAAATGAAAAAGCACCCTTCTGCTCTACCCTCTACCCCTTCTCTGTAAGATGTGAACGGCCCTTGGATTACACCTGAACAGTCATCTGGAACAGAAGTGGACCAGACACTGGCTTTGAGATGTTAGGAATAAGGGAAGAAGAAAGTACCAGTATACATTTGTTTTTATTTCTGTATGCAATGTAGTATTAGGCACATAGCTTGGGACACTTTCTAAAATAAGCCATTGGCCATTATTCAGAGTTTCCTTTTGGCTTTACAAATGAAAAACTTCACCAGATCAGAACAGTGAAAGTATAACAATTAACATGCTCAAGTGTCCAGTTTTGATATTTAAATATATTATACCTTTAAAACACACGACCTGTAATTACATGAGCATCATGGGTATTTCATTATTGGTTGATTTGTTGAAAGGATTACAGTTTTTTAAATATGAAGATTGTTCCAAAATATTTAATTTTTTAATGCTCTGAATTAAAGTACATCTGGTGAATGGGTTTAAAAAAGTAGGCGAATCACTTAAAAATACACAACAAGCCATGTGCACTTCAAAAGCCTGCTGTAAAATGTTGAACACCAGATTTCTTTTTAAATCATTGTTTTAAATCTAAAGCAACCAAAATATTTAAAGGGCACTGCAGTTCAACTTTCTGTTTTGCCAAACTAAAAGAAACATGGGCATCAGCATTTTTTTGAGGGGAAAGTGAAAAATAATGAAAACTGCTAAATACTTTGGTCACTAATTGTCAAATAGTTATGTCTCAAATACATTGGATTTGTGTATTCACTTTTTAAAATAAAACTATTCTTACTATTTTAACTACAGTGTCACTACTATTGGTACTTGGGTATCAAGATCTTATTTCACAAGCCACTCATCATTTAAAGAAATACAGTATAAACACACACAAAAATTTATTGGTTCTTCATGGTCTCTGTGAATGCACACAAATGAGTTAAACTGCACCTGCGCAGGACTATTCGGAATATTCTAGGGCTTAAATAACTGACCAATAGAACTTTTCCTCATGGTGCACATGCCCTGCCCACACGTGGTGCCTCAGTTCCTTTTTGCCGCTGCTGCAATTGGACTCCTTCACGACACCTAGAGCTATTTTCAATTCATTTACAGTTTCTGGTTTTGATCTTGACGTGTTTTCTTGACTACAGTTTTTCTTATCTGGAGTATTTCAACTTGGACTGACTTGATTTTCAATTCTTGCGTTTTGGATTGGCTGCCGTTATTGCATCTGGTTTTTGGCTTTTGGACTGGTTACCGTTTGTGATTTGGATTATGGAATTGGACTTGATACTTGGATCTTTATCTTCTCGGCTTGACTCCCTGGTTTTTGATCCTGGACTGCTATTGTTAACACTTCCCGTGAGTCTTTTTCTTTCCTTTCCACCCATCTTTCTCTGTTCCCACCAAATTTTATGGCCTCTTCAGGCCCATTCAATGCTGTACGTCATGTGCTAACAAGATTCCTTTTGCGGACAGCCACAACCACTGTTTATTCTGTTTTGGGGAAAGACACCAGCCCAACCCTTGTCAAGAGTGTGCAAAATTAACCAAGCCCACCTTGAAGCTCCGCTTACAGCGACTCCACTTGTATCTTTGGGAGAAGCCGTTAACACCGTCGAGCTTGACAACCAGGGAACCTACTGTGCCTCCTGCTCCTCCCTCTCCTCATCCCGATCCCACTGTCTCGCTAGTGCCTGCTACACCTTCTTCGAGAGCTTCTTCGAAGGTGTCCAACTCGAAGAAGTTTTCAAAGTCAGGGTCAGCATCGACATCAAAGTTGCCATCAGTTAAAGATCCCAAGAAAAAGGAGGAGGTAGTTGAACATTAAAAAGCTAAACAGCCTTCTAAGTCTGTTCAACCGAGGGAACGTCCTCCAGTTCGAGTCACCCTGCCCTTGCCGATAGCCGAGCTTCATGATCCCAAATCGCTTTCTGAAGGGGATGGCTTTGTACTGCAACCATAGACGCAGGCTTCGGTATCGATTCCGAGCCTGTATCCGAGTCATGGCCGTTCTGAGGCTGATGTAATCTCCAGCCCAGCTTTGGCCAATTCAAGCCCTATGTCAATCCGGCAGGCAACAGGGATTCAGCTGTCGAGCTCGGAGGTGTCACCACAACAATCCCCTCCATGTAAGCATCTGGCAAAATGTTGGCATGTTTCTCCAGGCTGATAACTCTCTCAACATCGGGAGGTTATAGTTCTTCTGTGTCCACCTCAGCAGCATGCTTTCACTGACTATGAAGAGCCACTTTATGTGGAAATTGATTGGTGTGGCGGTCGACGTCAGTACCATGGGGACAATCTTGATCCCTTTTATGACATTGACGATTATGTCAGGCCCAAGAGCGTACGATATGTCTACGGTTCCCTGGCTGGTTCATCTCTATCGCCTTCACCACTTTGACATCGGCATTGAGCTTATCTCCAACTTGAGCCTATGGACTTGAAGCCATTTACCACAGCAGGATCCGCAATCATCACATCCTGTGAAGTGTTCTCAGGCTCCATCGATACCATCACCCTCAGTATCCCATCCTAAAGCATCTCATGTTCAGTCATCTCACCCGGCTGCATCTTCTAGAACCGCTTATCCACCTGACACGGAGACTGCCACACCAATTTCCCAAGCCCCAGCCTCCATATTGAGATCTCATCCTTGTTCACCTTCACCACCTCTGTCTCCTCATAGGGGATCTAGAGCTTCTTCAGTCTCATCGGTCTCTGAGCAGGACCCACCTTCAGAGGCTTCTAGGGAATCCCCCTTAAAATTTCCTACACCAGATTCAGATGTCACTGTTATCCATCTCCCATCTCCCTCCAAAATTACACCAGATTCAGATGTTACTGTTATCCATCTCCCATCTCCCTCCAAAGACTTTACGTCATATTCTCAGTTAATTCCACACATGGCCAAATCATTGGAACTTAATATAGACCAACCTCCCCCCCCCCAAGCAGGACCCTGTTTTTGATGATATAAACCGTGACGGCCCTCCTTCTGGTAAGTGAGCTTGCTAGTCACCCATTCGTGTGCATTCACAGAGACACAAAGAAGAAAGAGAGGTTGCTTACCTGTAACCATGGTTTTTCGAGTGGTACTCTGTGAATCCACACATCCCGCCCAACCTCCCCACTGTCCGTCATGGGTTGTCTACAGCTTTCTAATTATCAGAGCTATGACAGCGGTGGATGTTCGGAACTGAGGTATCATGGACAGGAGGGGCATGTGCACCACAGAGAAACGTTCTATTGGTCAGTTATTTAAGCTCTAGAATATTCCAAAGAGTCCTGCGCAGGCTAAGTTTAACCCATTCGTGGGGATTCACAGAGTACCACTTGAAGAACCATGGTAAGTAACCTCTCTTATTTTTCAATGTGCAATTTTTACACTGAGAATTTCTGTACAGTGTCTTTAAAGTCTAGAATATAAACGTTGCTGGTCATGATCCCTTGTGAAATTAGTGCAGCAATCACTGGCTCCAATAAGCTCCAGATGAAATCCTCAAGAGATCCAAATTCTTGGATTTAAGGTCATATTCTTCAGCCAACAGCAGTCAGTATCACATATCATACAGGGCCATTGACGGATGCCTATGCTACTAGAGTTTGATGATCAGTCCTAGGGAATGAAAAGGAAGATTTAAGATTAGTTTTCTCATACAATCAATGCAAATAACAGCTGTGCACATGCTGTTGCCTTTTCTCAGACTTCAAAGAAGCACTCAAGTCTGTTTCAGAAGAAACAAAAACAAAAGTATTATGCCAGGTATGGTTTAGAACTCATTCCTGGGCCAGATTTGCTGGTTGACAGCATGAGAGGCCTGCAGTGTGGGCAGCTCTCATTTTGCACTGGATTGGGAACCTTCCCAGGAACTTTCCCCTGAACAATCAGAAGGGAGCCAGGGGTGGGCTCCTTACAGGGGTATGGCAGGATGCTTCCAATCCCGTTTGCTTGGGAAGGATGCAAGTGCTATCAGGCTACCTAGGGATGGCCAGACCTTCACCCACCCTCTTTTCTCTTGGTGGTCCATCTACGGTTTTGGTGAAGGCACTCTATTCATCCATATTTTAAGCTGCTGCAACTTCATTGGGGTGGTCTGAGGTATCCTCAAACTGGAAAGGGGAGGCATGGATTGTCTGCTCCTCCTTCAGGTGGCAATTGTTACATACAGCACTGATGTTAGGGTGGCAATATCCTTAAAGGGCTGTGGGTTTGGAGAGAACAAGTGAGAACCTGATGGTAAAAAGCTTTGGAGGTAACAATGTTGGTACCTATGAATGGATCTGAAGGAAGGAAAAGGAGAAAAATGGTCCACCCATTAAAGGAGCACTCAGCAAATTTGCTGATGAAACAAAACTGGGGGGAATTGCTCATACTTTGGAAGACAGACTCAACATTCAGAAGGATCTAGACAGACTTGAACATTGGGCCCTATCCAATAAGATGCAGTTTAGTGGCAGGAAAAGTAAGGTCCTG